GGGGTGTTTGTAATTTACCCTTTAAAAAATGATAAATTTCACTTTATCCCTTTTACTTTGGTTAGATATCACTTTACCCCATTCTACTCTGGTGCATCGGTTTACCTCCCTGCACTTGAAAAATTGCCTCAATGTGGCACTCGCCTTAGTTTTTAGACATTTGACCTTAACACAGTTTGGTCTAAGGTCTGAAAATTACAAAAAAGTCATTCCTCACAATTTAAATAATTATTAAAAATAAAAATAAATTGTGGTTGCCGTCATGTGCTTTCTCGTTGTTTTGTGATTTCAGGGCTTAGATCAACCGGTGTTAAGGTCAAATGTCTGACAACTAACAATTACAGCCACATTGAGACAATTTTTCAAATGCAGGGTCCAAATCGATGAATTCGATAGTAGAGGGGTTAAAGTGACACCGAGTCAAAGTAAAGAGGAAAAAATGGAATTTGCCCTTTAAAAATTCATAAATACTTATATTTTAAAACTCAGCTTTTAGAAATGCACATAATTCATTTATATTTGAAAACGGACCATATCTCCTAGTATATTCTAACGGCTTTGCATCGCATGGGGTGAATTATTAGTAAAATAGAATTATAATTTTATTCACAAATTTAACATTCTTTTCTAATTGTCCCTGACCCATAAAACCTCGTTTTAATATTGATTTGTTTTTTTTCTCAGTGAATAAATATTAAGTTGAAATAAATATTCGAGGTAGGATATTTTATTCAAATATATTGGATGAAATTATCGGATAGTCCTTGGTATTTATTTTTTTATTTTATAGAAGTTATATTACTTTTAGATTGATTGATATGCTAAAAGCCCACACACGCACATACTTTAAAAGAAGGCCCACTATGGAGAAGCTCAATAAATAAGGTTTATTTCATCAGCGGGCTTTGAGCCCATAATTAAATAAATAGTCTAATGATCATTAGAGGTAATTAATTCATTTTAACCCAATTTATAGAAATTTTCTTTTCTCTCTAGTTTTGAAAATAACTTAAGCATTAGAGGATTTTCGCTGAAGGGTTTTCCCTGGGATCAAGATATTGCACCCCAACGTGCGTATTTAAAAGTTAAAAAAATTGCTTGCCTAGACGATTGACTGCTACGTAGTACATATATGTGGTACGCCGACATGGCGAAATGAGAAAATGGATACGTGCGGTGCAAATGCTACAAATATAGGGGTATACTCATAAATTCTTAAAAAATATTGAAACATTCACATATATGCTTATCATCAATTATAGACGTGTATCCACAACTTATATGTAATTACAAGTTCACAATCCTTATTATCAATTCATAAAGGGTAAATTACAACCACCCCCTCTGAGGTATAGTCAATTTACGAAAAAACCTCTCTTGTTTGGATAATTACATCTACCTCCCTCAACTATGATTTTTTTCTTACAGCTTCACCCTTATGGTGTCAAATTCAACATAATCATCTAGATTTCGTGGAATGTGCTCTAGTTTGTATTCGTTTTGTGTAAAAATACAGTTTCTGATGCACCACAATCTGATATATACAAGCTAAAAAACACATATTATGATCATCTTGCTTCAAAATGTAGAGTTCGAATGGGATACAACGGGTACAAAAGTTATAATATTCCATATAATCTCAACGATTTCACTAAATTTGAAACCGCAAGAGTGGACGTGTAAAAAAATTTATAGTTGAGGGGGTGGTTGTAATTACCCAAACAAGAGGAGGGGTTTTGTAATTTGACCATATCTCAGGAGGTGGTTGTAATTTACCCATTCATATATCTATGGGGCAGAGAAATTTATTTCACTATAGAGTTAAAATCTATTAAAAGTAAATATTATAAACCAAGATTTAAGCTTTTTTTCAAACGTAGACAATTTGAAGTCTTTATTTGAAATAAGTTTTGGATAGTTTTTGGGAGGAGACGTGTTTCCATTGATAGTACTATAAATGTCCCATAAAATTTAAGTATTTATAGAATCGGTCTCGAAATGTTTCGAGCATGTGTCATGGAGTTTCGATTTTTAAAACGTATCTGAAACGTGATACCACTTCAGTACAATAATTTTTGTGCATCTTAGATTGCCTAGATACAAGATGAAATAAAGGCCTAAAGAACTCGATTAAGACACAATACAAGGGGTAAAAAGGAATAAAAGAAGAAAAATATAAGAAAAGGGACAGACCAAAGTAGACGAATGTTAATAGAATGGCGCCAAAGCATTATGAAAAAACTTTTGAATGTTGGAAATAAAAGAAAAAAATTCGGACAATTTCATATTTCATGATATTCAAAATAAAGTGTGGATGAACTCGGTTATTTCAAAAAAAAAAAAATGGTATCTTTTTTTTTTTTTTTTTTTGTTCCACCTCTTACTTAAAGATCACTCTTATGTGTCAAAGTTTGACTATTTTTTCTTAGGTAATTTACGGCCACTCTCTGAAGGAGTTTTGAAGATTCTACACTCGATTATCCTGTATCACTGATCTACATATAATAACATACACACTCATATGTATATGTGTTTAGTTAGTAGTTATTTGTATCGATCTATAATGCAAAATTATATGTATATGTGCTTGGTTAGATCATAGATCATAGATCCTTTTGATGTCAAATTACGAAAAAACTCCTCATATTTGACTAATTACAACCACCCTCTACTATGTATTGTCTTACACGTCGATCGTTACGGTATCAAATTTACATACTAAATGACGATTTTTTTTTTAAACAATACATATAGTTGGAGGAAATTATTGTAATTACACAAATACAAGGGATTTTGTTTTCTAATTTCACTTTATTTCACTAATTTCGTTACGATTTGTTTTTTTTTTGATTTTCTGAGTAAAAACAAAAAACAAAAAACATTGGTAATAGGGAAAGGGAGTTAAAAAGATGCGGCGTTCAAACTTGCAAATTTTTTACCATGGAAAAATGCAGAGCTAAATAAAAAGGAACAAAGCATATATTATAATATGCCACCTTTCTTTCTTTCACGTTACTCCAAAAAAAATTACGACATTCAAAAGCTTTTATATTTAATTTTACCCCACACATTGGCATCAATCAATCTCACCCTTTTTAAGGCAAAAAAACACTGCACCACCACCATAATTAATCTGTCCACCTGTAGTGGACTGTGACAAATAAAACATCAATTTTCGTCTGATTTAATTTTACCCAAAATAAGAAGATAAAAGAAATTAAAAATTGATAAAATTATATTAAAAAAACATAAAATAAAAAGATAATATACTTCAACTTTATTCCATATTTAGACCTTGATTGACATTCAATTTACCTCAATTCTCAAGTCTATATATAGATTGATATACCCAAGGTTGTAAAAATCGGTAATCGGGTCCGACTCGGTCAGGCACCGACTCACGATTAATCGGTGCGGCGGTGATTAATCGGTGATAAATCGGAAATAAATCGGTTTTTAAAATTTAATATAATATATTTGTAGATATTATTTATAAATACTCAAAACATAGATAAAAAATATTTAAACATAGTTATATCTCCATCATGTATATATTCTAATAACATAATAAAAGTTTAATAATAATAAGATCATAATACATAAATATCCTTATAAAATATAAATAAAAAGGCAATTTTTTTTGAATTTACATACATTCTTGGCATACATCATTAGTTCTTTAACAATAATAATTAACATAAACAAAATAAAGCATAAAATCCTTTTTTTTTTATTTAAATTCCAACTTTTATTTTGATTTATAAAAAAAAAAAAAAAAAAAAAACCGATTTTTGACCGATTTTTTGCCGATTTTTTCCACCGAAGTTTGACCCGCCTTAAAGGTTTGACCGCCTCGGACCGCCTCAGACCGCCTCGGACCGCCTCAAACCGCCTCACAGGCAAAAAACCGATTTTTCAAACCTTTACACTAAAATCGTAAAGGTTTTGGACCGCCTCCGCCTAGGCGACCGATTAATCGGCCGCCTCGGCCGATTTTTAGAACACTGGATATACCACATGCAATTTCACATGGTTACATAGTATTGTTCACTCATGAATAGATTCGTACATATTTTACGCGCATATACAAGTATGTGTGTCAGTGTGTAACTGTATGTAAATAAAAAGTAATAAAAGGCGGTGTTTGCTTATGTTTTCATTTCAATTTTATTATTTCCTCGAAACGAAATCGTGTTTTTTTAGATTTTCGAAAAAGGTTTTCAGTAATAATTTGTAAAATTTATCTCTCATCCGGACATGATTTGACAATCACAGTAAATATATTCGGTAATTAAAGTAAAACAAATCTTGACTAATAAAATAAATTGACATCACTTTAATTTTTAAATTATTCTTCTAAACTATATTTTGCCAACACATTCAAACATGATTTGATTACTATAATATATTTTGTCTCGTCTCAAATTATAAGAACAAATATTACTTTCATTCTCAAAATATATTTCACCATGATAAAATGAAATTAACCCCCCAAAACGATTCCAAACATTACCGAAACTTTCCGACGTATTCCATCGAATGTAACATGTAATTAAGAGATCCCTATCCTCTATATGTAAGATCAAATTAGTACGTTGTATTGTAATACAAAAACTAGGCTCGTCATATAACATAGTACTGAAATTCTCTTAAACCGGGTTATCTTGCAAGCCATACGAGATACAAAAACCGAGGGCAAGAGAATTCAAACTTTGATCAATTGAGACATGCTCACTTGCTCCAACCGCTAGATTTTCACTTACCGGATATTTGATATCCAAGTTCTTCCAACCTAAAAGCAATTCTTGAATGACCAACTAACATATGAAATCTAACTTGTCCATCATACAACAAATGTAGTTGGTTTTGAACTATCTTGAATAAAATTCCAATTCTTTTATTTCAAAATTACCACTTAAATAAATAAAAAAAAATGCCCACTTGTCATAATTCCATTCTTGAAAAAACAAAGTCCAAACCCAACTCACCAATCACCTTCTCTTTGCTCAAACCTCATTGAACCAACAACTAATAGAATTTAATTTAATGCTACATACATATTTCATATCACTATATCTACTTACTTTAATGGATATATCCATATTGAAGTACTTGACCCGTTTTGCTAAAATAGAGATTTTCTTTTAGCTACTAACCACTCCAATCATTTCATGTTGGATGAATAACACCTGTATTGTTTGGTTAGTAATATTAATCCCCTGAAATCATTATGTATATGATCATAAATATATGTGAAATTAAACATACACAGCCCCCTTTAGTGTGTGTGTGTGTGAGAGAGAAAAAGAGAAGAGAGAGAGAGAGAGAGAGAGAGAGAGAGAGGAGCCTTCTCATATACTGCATAGTACTTAAAAACCTGTATTCTATTCTGTCCTGTTTCCAACTGTTGAGTTAGTTCCCATTCTGTACTTAAATTCTGTTGGTGTTTTTTTTTTCTGTATACAAAAAATCATTACAAAAGCTTCTGCGATTGAATTCCTGTCTAGTAACAAGACAAATGAGGTACATACGGACAGCCAGTTTGAAGAGGCTGTTCTCCCTCCGCCGCCACAGTTTCGACGAAGAATCCGACTCCGCCGTCGCGCCGCCGCCGCCGCCGCCGGCGGCGCATTTTCAGAAACCCACATGGAAATGCTTCAGCTACGAAGAAATCTTCGCCGCCACAAATGGGTTCTCATCAGGTTTCACTCCCATCTCCATTTTCCCCAAGAAAATCTCCATTTTTAAGACAAAAAGATTCAATTTTTATTTTTTCTGTGTGTGTGTGTTTTTGGTGTGTTCAGACAATATGGTCGGAAAAGGAGGGTTCGCAGAGGTGTACAGAGGTTTGCTTGAAGATGGGCAAACAATTGCGGTCAAACGATTGACCAAAACTGCCAACGACGAAAGAAAAGAGAAGGATTTCTTGACGGAGATTGGTACACTCGGCCACGTGTCTCACCCGAACGTGACGTCACTTCTTGGGTGCTGTATTGACAGTGGCCTTTATCTCATTTTCCAGTTCTCCTCAAAGGGCAACGTTGCTTCTCTTCTCCATGGTAAGAAAAGAAAAAAAAAATAATAAATAAATTAAAAAAAAAACTTTTTTTTTTTTTTGTTTTGTCCTAGGTTAAATTTTCTTACACAATGTTTTTTGTGGTGTTTAGATGAGAAATTGGGTGCTTTGGATTGGAAAACAAGGTACAAAATTGCAGTTGGTACTGCAAAGGGCTTACATTACTTGCATAAGAACTGCCCAAGAAGAATTATTCACAGAGATATCAAATCTTCTAATGTTTTACTCACTGCAGATTTTGAACCCAAGGTAAAAAAAAAAAAAAAAAAAAATCCAATTAGTAATTAAAAAAAAAGAAATTCTTGATGGTTTGATTTTTGTGGTACAGATATCAGACTTTGGCTTAGCAAAATGGCTTCCATCACAATGGAGCCATCACTCGATTGCTCCAATCGAAGGAACGTTCGGGTACGTTTTATTTCGTTTCTTGATATTCTGAAAAATGTTATTTTTTTATAATGAAAGTTTAATTAATTAGTTGAATGTATGTTTTCAGACACTTGGCGCCGGAGTACTTTATGCACGGAGTAGTGGACGAAAAAACGGACGTATTTGCTTTCGGGGTGTTTTTACTCGAGCTTGTTTCTGGAAAAAAACCTGTGGATAGCTCTCATCAAAGCTTGCATAGCTGGGTAAATTCCCATTTCTCCGAATTCAATAATATGTTCGAAAAATTAAATTTTAATTATTTGGACTTAATTTTACGCTCGTTAAATAAATAGGCGAAGCCTATACTAAACCGAGGAGATATAAAAGAAGTGGTTGATCCGAGAATCGGAGAGTACTATGATGTTGGCCAACTCAATCGGCTTACATTTGCAGCCTCACTTTGCATTCGAGCTTCTCCCGTTTGGCGCCCCACCATGAGTGAGGTAATTAATTATTTTCGTGTTCTAATTTTATTTTTTGCTAGGTAATATGTTTTTAATGCAAGAATTATAAAAAAAAAGTAGGTGATATATGAAGACAAAAAAGAACGAGTATTTAAAAATTAATTTTTATCGAGATATTTTTTCTTTGTCCCTTTTCTTTCAATTTGATTCTCTCTGCGTTTATTTACGTAGAAAAATCGACTCCGAAAAGTTGCTAAGGGTTTTTATTTTTATTACATTCATGTCATTTTCTTGAAGATTAGTCAAATGGTTCCGCCATTTTTATACGGCGATCCACCTAATAATAAACACATGCAATTTTTTCCTCGCCGATTGAGTTTTACTGATAAAGACCTCAGTATCGAATTCGCACGCCTCTTCGATTTAATTGAATAAAGAAACCCTGCTTAAACAAAGACAGAGTTCATGCAGGTGGTAACAAAACTTTGTTGTCTTAAAAATTATGTACTAATAGTCAAAATCTTACATCATTAAAACTTTTTAAGGGGCTTAATTACATGATTTAGCCATCGTCTGTCGGTCCGGTCGATCACACACACACACACACACACACACACACACACTGAGTGTGTGTTTTATGTGTGTAATTTCTTTTTCATTACTACATTCCAAATTACTCTATTTGATGTTTGTGCCTCACCTAACCATAATCTTTATGCTTTATTAGGCTAATCATATCTGTCTTAATCATGTGATTAGACGATAATAGGGTGATTGATAATAACAGCCTTAATACATAGTGAGTGTTTTTTTATGTAAATACAAAGAGTAGTTCGTACATTTTCGAAAACGAATTTCTACGAAAAAAGGTGCACGCTTTATTTTGATTTTTTTTTTCGAGACAAGAAAAATTCCGTTTACAGTACGACAGCCTTATCTTACTTCCTCTAGTTCATACAAAAAAAAAAAAAAACAACTCACGAAATACGAAAATACGACGAGGGATATATATATATATATATATATATATATATATATATATATATATATATATATATATATATATATATAGATATATAAAATCTGTCAAGTGGGGAAAGATTATACTATGCCTATGCATGGGGAGCTGTTAGTTGTCCCATTCTTGATTCAGGCCACCACTTCTCTTATAATTAATTAATTAATTAATTTTTAATTAAAATAATCTAGTTTACGATGATAAAATAGTGTCTTTTCCGCTGTCTTATAACGTTTCATCTCCGTATATAATTGTTTGTATACGGTCAGAGGATACTATGCATCTGTGACGAGAGTATATTCGATAATGCTGCAGATTCTGATGCTAAGATAATCGATAAATTATATATGTTCAATTTTTTTATTAATGATTTTTTTTTATCTTATATAATATTTATAGATATTGGAGGTAATATCGATGGAAGACGAATTAGACAAGGAAAAATGGAAGATGCCGGACGAAGAGGAAGAAGAGTTTTGGGGTTTCGAAGATCTCGAATGCGAGTACGACGATGATGATGATGTAACTTCTTCGTTCTCGACTTCCATTACAAGTTCTTGTATCGGAAATACCAATTCTGCCCTCGTAGTGAATTGACGTTATGTAAATAGTCGAAAAAACAATTTAGCATATGATAATACATATAAGAAATTAAAAACATGTTTGTATTTGGAGCAAATGTAGCTAACACTTGGCCAATTTTGATCATTGAAATTTCGTTTTAACTTCATTTAATTATTTTTAATAATAAATAAATATATATATATATATATATATATATATATATATATATATATATATATATATATATATATATATATATATATATATATATATATATAATTTAATAAAATAAATATATAGTATAGTGATTAGACTATACAAGAGTTTTAGGATAAGTTCCACACTGGCAAAAGGGACAACCATTTCCAGCATGGAAAGAGGGTGACTTTGTCGGGAAATAAATTAATTTGATGAATATAAATAAATGGTTTTAATTAAATATTAATTGGACAAAAATAATTCATTTTTCAATGATTTTTAGAATATTTATTGGGAGATGGGACCTTATAATACAAGTTACTATATATGAGTGGGAGAATATATTTTTGGAAATTGCATTGGAATGCTCAAAAGTCAGAAGCGTGATTAGTTTAGGAGATTGACTGAATCTAATTAATTAGGGTTTTGCAGATGCTGCACTCGATAAAATAAATTGAGTGATTTTGAAGCATTGATTTATATATACTAATACACAATATGTGTATGTGCAGTTAGTGAGTAATTATTTATGGAAATTTACGATTTAAAACCATCCGATGTGTTACATCTGGTAGCATCTCGTAGACCGTTAATTTACTGGTTTGTCGGTATAAAACAAGTGTGGATTTGATTTAATTAAAATTAGTAAACAGGACAGCAAGCATATACCTTTTATTTATTTTTAATTAGTTTAACTTATCCAATTCAGTTAATTTGGTCATGCCAGGAGTGATGCCATATAATATAGATGTGGCTTAAGTGTATTTGAGTTGATATTTGCCACAAGTGTTAGGCTATGGTCGATAGAATTACGCAATCAACGCTGAATGTTGAAAATACATGACTGAATCGTTAATAGTGTAGAATATTAAAGATTCGAGTTTGTTTGGTGACAGAAAAAAATATTTTATCTAGATAATGTAGTTTTACTATATTAACCTAATATAATGATTGAATATATTAACTCTCGTAATCGTTAAACGTGTTTCAGTAACAAAATTGTTGAATTATTTTCAAATTTTCATTTCTTTTAGGATAAGCTTGATCAAATCCTATTTTTTTCCGTTAAAGTATTATGACTCGTTTGCTAGTTAAGATAAGACTAAATAATTTAATAAAACCAATTATTTTATCTAATGAAAACTTCCTAAAAGACAATATAAGTAACTATGTTATATTTGCGGGTCGACCCACTAAGTTATTGTGATATGAAACATCAAACAAAGTCCAGTTACTTAATTGATAATGACTAATCACTCCAACCAAACAAGGTTTTATTGTAACAAATAAATTACCTAATCCGACAAAAAATTAAATACTTGAATTGTACTCTTAATTTCAAGTTTATTTCATAATTAATGAGCTAAGTTAAATGGAACTAAGCAAGAATTGGACACTTGGAAACGTGACAAATAAGTATTGTGTATTAAAATATCAAGTGATGAGTACTTACTATCATAGCACGGGTTCTGTTTTATTTCCTAAGTCATTGCCAATAATAATAGGGACCACTTTGTAAAGACTTATATAATTTTGATGAAACATCTGCCGACCCTCGAAATTTGTCATAATTATATTTATGACCCACCAGCTTTTAAAGTCATTCCAATTTGCCCAACTCAATGCTTGTACTTATATGGGATTGATCACTCATTATTGTCAATGTAATCAATAATAAAACAATAAGTCACATATTTTTTTTTCAACTTTTTAAAATAATTAATAGAAAATGCTGTCATTTTCATCAATTTTTAAAATGGAAAATCTAGGTTTTAATCACCAATTAAGGCCTATGTTTTCATTAATATTTTCTTTGTCAAATAATTGAGAACATAGGTTTTAATCACCACTTAATATACCTATGTTTTCCAAATATATTTTTATTAAAATAATTGAGAATCTAGGTTTTAATTATCACCACTTAAGACCTATGTTCTCATATATTTTTATTATTATAATTATTATTAAATATTAACTCAAATGTCAAAATATTTCTTTTATAATTGTGCATTGGATAAACCTACACTCTCGTATAATAGTTTGCAAACCATACGACGAACGACGTGTGACAAACTCCACCTAGTGACTGTTGGTAAGGTTAATTGAACCCGAAACAGTTGACACATGTTTACTTACTCGAACCGCTAGGTCATCCCTAATAGGACAAATGTGGGACAAATGAATCGCCTCTAGAACATAGTTTGCTTCAAATAATTAATTTTTGCCTTCCACAAAATCATCTAGTTTATATTTCTCCTAATACAAATTAATCCAAATTTATAATAAATTAATTCAAATTTTATTTGGGGAGGAGAGGGAAAGCAAAGGGAGAAACAAACAGCTGGCTAAGTCACAGAATTGAAAGTGTTGTTTCAACCACCAGTCCAATGAAAATTGAACATACAACAAATTTTGAGTGGCCAAAACTAAATAAATAAAAGTTCAATAAATCTCTCTCTCTCTCTCTCTCTCTCTCTCTCTCTCTCTCTCTCAATTTAAAAAAAAAAACAGAATCTAAAAAGCAATAATAATAACAAATAAGCAATAATATGAAGAGGAGCATGTGAATGGCAGTTGATAAACAGATAATGTAATGGAACTTTTAATCATATGGGACTGATAATCAGTTTTAATTAATTTACCAAATGCCACTCAAATTAAATGGCACAAACAATCAATCATAAGAGTTAGTTCAACTCCCCTTTGATTCTCTTACAGTTAGGTTATCTAAACCATCTTGTTTCTTGAATTATATCCATCTATTTTTTTTTTTTTTGTTTTAATTACAAAAAAATGATATGAGTATGCTATGTCAGAAGGCCGCTGGGTGAAATATATCAGATAGCTCTACATAATGAAGTTGAATAATACTCAATATTTTATTTTACACATTACACTAATTTAGAAAAATCTCGACCTTTTATTATTATTATATTATTATTATTATTATTATTATTATTATTATTATTATTATTATTATTATTATTATTATTATTATTATTATTATTATTATTATTATTATTATTATTATTATTATTATTATTATTATTATTATTATTATTATTATTATTATCGTGATTTACTAACACTGTAATTTGCAATTATCAATTTACACTAACTTCAACTTAAATCAACATCAATGAGCTTCTAATATTATAAATAATAATAATATACATCTCTCTATATATATATATATGTGTATGTTCCTCCCCTACCAACTTTTAATATATAATTTTTTATCCTAAAAAAAAAGAAAAAGAAATCAGTAATTATATCAGGAGTTATTCGTGTCAAGAAATCCAACAACAATTAAAAATAGTTCAATATGACAGCGTGGCCACTGCACAGAAAGGATTAAGATTCTTGGTTATTTATTTTAGGGCACACCCCTGAGCTATGGTGAAATTACGAAAACCCCCCTTCTGTTTGGGTAATTACAGCCACGCCCTGAGCTATATATTTATCTTACGAAAAGACCCCTCAAGAGGTAAATTTAGGGATGTTAATTCGGTAAAACCGAACCAAAATTTCGGTACGCCAACATTTCATACCGTTTACCGAACTAAATATACGATTTAGTTCGATAAATAACCGAATTACATAAATTTTACGTAAAAATATTTAAAAGGAGGGGGGTGGCTGTAATTACCCAAACAAGAGGGGTTTTTTCGTAATTTGACCATACCTGAGGGGGTGGCCGTAATTTGCCCTTTATTTTATTTTATTTAATTTATTGTGCAAAGATAATAATATGTTTGTTGAGTATGATAAGCTTAACCACTTCATACAAAACAACAGGACTAAGGTTGTTTCTGGTTTAGTTGATAAAGCCTTTTGACTTCACCATGCATTTACTCTTTTTTCAGATATTAATAAATAAATAAATAAATAAAATTTGGAAATTAAAAGATATTCATTTTTGAGAATCTTAGAAACTAAAGAGACAAAAGGGCTTGGTGGAAGAAGCTAATTCACAGGTGGTTGAATGAATCTCTCTCTCTCTCTCTCTCTCTTGAAAGAGATATATATGTACTCTATACGTGTATGATTGTGTGTAAATCTACCCTCACATGCTATAAAGTGTTACTGTTATACTAACCAATACATTTCACTCGATTTAGCATATAATATGAGCTTAGTTCCATTCTGCACCGTTGAGATGTAGCACTTTGGTCCATTGCACCGTTGAAAAAAAAAATGTATTACCTTTTGAAGGAGCAAAGTGCTATTAATTTTTTTTCATGGTACAAAGTGCCAAAATAGTAAATTTTAAGGGTGCAAAGTGGAATTAAGCATAAATTATTCACAATATATCCAAATTGAATATTTAAAACTTACCGACGGTAATTTCATTTTTACTTTTACTTCACAACGAATTACTGAAAAAACTTTATTTTTTACTAAAAAATAATTTTTTCTCCCTAAATTATTCGATTGATGGAGCTTTTGTTGTAATTAGTGAAAATATTTCGTAAAAATCTTTAGAAAAAAATATAATTTTTAAATAACTTAATAACAAAATAGCTGAAGGATTTTTTTTGTTTTTTAAAAAAAAAATCTTTTGTGATTTTTTTTTTAATATGCTGGTAAGATGTATTTTTACTTTGCAATTTGTAGTTTCGAAAGGATTGATAAATATGAAAATATCACTAAAAATATTAAATTACCTTCATTAATTTTACAAATTCATCCGAGGTGCATTATGCATGATTTATTGTATTTCGAGGGTGTAAAATGCTATTATTTTTTTTCGAGGTTGCAGAGTACCAAAAAACATATTTCAAGGGTGCAAAGTGGAATTAAGTCTATAGTATGTACAGGACCGTTACCAAAAAACTGGGACATACAGAACAGTAAATAAATAAATAAATAAAAATGATAGTAGCACAAAATTTGCTGTATTAGATGCAAAATTCTTTACATAATGATAGTGTTTATCATAAGTTGCAAGTATAAACTTATCGTCGACCGCAGCCCTAGTCGAAGATTAGTATTTTCGAAACATATGAAGTCAAAGCGGAAGAGAAAAGGCAACGTTCGTGAATCACACCGTTCAACACGTTTCAAGATCAAATCTATTCTACACTCGATGAAGTAAAGATCTAGCAGCGTTCATACATCAAGCTGTCGACTTACATGTTAATATTCGAATAGTATTTAATGCACAATAATATTTTTTTTTTCTAATCTGAAGTACCCTTCAAATCGGCAATTTTTGTTGTCTGATTTCGAAGAATTCTACGTCTAAAGATTCAATCTCCTAGTACAGTCAGTTAACAGGAGCAGTAAGAATAAGGCTAAAAATTCCGTCACCTTTAGTAGTTACCAAATCACCGTTTTTCGCTAACCAAACGGCCTACATCTCTGAAACCCTATCGTCATATTTTCTCTTTTGTGGGGCCCACGTGATTACTCACGCTATTTCCCCGCTGCAGCTTATCAATCCCGCAAGCTCAATGAGCAAGTAAGACTAATCGAACCTCAATCTGTCAATGCCAGGTCCCTACAAAAACCGAACGGTAAGAAAATAAAAAATAAAACCACGATAGATCTCAACAGATACAACTTACACTAAATCATACATAATCAAACAAATTACAAACAAAACCACGAAAAAAATTACGGACCTTGTCATAATATTCAGTCATTGTATGCGCTGCAAACATCGTCAATCTCCATCTCGGAACCATCTCCATCCGAATCATTCTCGAGGGTTTGCATCGTCTCGTCATTTCCAAGATCCATCACCGCATGTTCTTCATCTCCAGAATCGGAACGAACCAAAGCCACGTCGTAGTTATCTTCACTGTCTGAAAAATCCTCGAAACTCCCTATCTTCTTCTTATTTCCCCTATAACCAACTGACCTCATAACCTTTTCCTTCCAAACAACCAAAGGATGCTTCTCGATCAACTCCGAACCATCGTAAGCCTCCTTCAAGAACACGCTAAACCTTTTCCCCCTCTCCGAAACATAGAAGATCCCAAAGTGCTTCAGCAAAAGCCTCATTAGCTTCTGCGGCATCGTAAACTCCCTCCTAAAATGCGTTAAATAATCCGTCACCAATCTTTTATCGATCGTAAAGCTAAGCAACTCGTGCATCACTGCAACTGCTCTCTTATCGAACTCGAGGGACCCTGCTTTCAAACCAGTGGCGTCTGCGTACGGTGACAGATACTCCCTCTTCTGAAAATGCTCGATTTTCCCACCATATCTGTACACTTTCTTGTAAGTTTGGGGGAACTTTAACGGAAAAGATAACGAAAGCAATCCAGGTACGTGATCACTATCACAATCACGCTTCCCTTCGTTTATGCCTAAAACCTTTTTTTCATGTTCGGTTATCGCCCAATCAGATTTCCAAGAAACGAGCTCCAAATACTCCCCTTCATCGTAAGGCTTAAAAGGCTGAACAACCTTAAACTTTTCGGGATAGTTATGTACCCCAATGCTTCCTAAAATCCATCGGCAAACCTAAATCGCGACGGAAATGTGCGATTTTATCGAGCGGAAGCCGCTTATCTAAAGACATCATTAACATTCTAGTTACATATTCTGCAGCTTTTTCGCTGTGTTCTCGAATAATTTGCTCCTCCTCTTTAATCAATTCCTGGGCTTCTTCCGTCAACCCGCACCACACAACGCCCCGACGGTCTTTATACAGCTCGAAAAGCTTGGGAGATTTACGGAGAAAATCGGATATTTTATTGGGTTTGGGGAGATTGAGCTGCTGGCGATGCTGGTCGAGGTTTCTTAAAGAAATGATGCTCTCCTGCTCGCATTTTAGGGTTTCGAACAAATGTAGGATTTTGGAGATTACCTTGTGTTTCTCTGTGGCGATCTCGAGTTCCTGCACGCGCTTGTTCTGGCTGCGGTCTTGTACCCTTTTGCTGGATGTCATCCACCGGCGTTGAATGTTGTACATTAAGGTACAATACCCTGGAACGACGTCGTTTGTGAAGAATACTCTAGGCTGGAGCATTGTGTAACCAAGTATGTAGCAAGCTGGCAGAAAAATTGACGAGATTTCCTCTACAAACGAATTTGAAGGATATCCACCTTTACAGAGATTTCATTAGACGAAATTGGCTGTATCACGTCGTTTGAAATTTTGATGCATTACAGGGGTTTTGGAAAAAGAAAAAAAAAAAGTGTGTTTTCGTGTGTATTTGTTTGAATAAGAAGAAGGTTTTGGATGGGGATTGAGGGGGAGGGCGACGGTTCGACGGCGGAGATGGATGACAGGAAGTCGCCGGAGAAGGGGGTTTTGGGGACTGAATGAACGGAGATTGGCGCGGCGGTGCTGAATTTAATTTCTCTTTTCAGTTCATGGGCCAAAAAGTGTCGAACCTCATCAATGTGTTGGGCTTTTTAAGTTGGGTTTTGAAACCCGGATGGAACGCATCGCAATCGATCTCTTCGGAAAATTTTCGTCTTTTTTTTTTTACTTTCATAAAGATGTTTCATTCGTAAAATGAGTTATGTATCAATTCATAACTGACGGTGACCGTAATTTATAGGGGTGTGCATGGATCAGCCCACCTCGACTTTTGGCAAAAACCAAGTACGAACCAATGAATTTGATTTTTATGAAATAAAAACCAAAGCCATCGGTTTTAATTTAGTTTGTTTTCTTTCGGTTTAGATTTCGGTTCGTATTTCAGTTTTTCTTTTTTCCCAATTCTTGACCGGTTTTGGATTTTCTCCTCTTCGGTTGGTTTATTATATCTTCTCTTCTTGTCTTTATAATGTAAAGATCTAAAGTGTAGTATTTCGGCATTTCATATTTTTTATCTACACGTATGTATACTATAATGAAATACGACGTCATTTAAACTGTTCGATTCGGTTCGTTTCAAGTAGTGTGGTTTTATGCTTGAAAATCATACACAAACCTAAAATGTTCGGGTTTTTCCAAAAAAAGCAAAACCAATCCAACGGTAATTTTTCGATTTGTCGGTTTTGTGTTTTTTTTTTTTTTCACCCCTAGTAATTTACCATTGACTTTTAGTTGATTCGGATTCATGTGGAAGTCAACACCTAGTATAAATGATTACACATTCTTGTACCTTTGACTTTTAGATGATTTGGATTCATGTGGAAGTCAGCATATAGTATAGTTGATTACACATGTATTGTTTTAATTAGATCTGAATTTAATTTCCACTGATATGGGATCTAACTTGTTCATGTGTCAAATCCCAAGCATCAAGATTAATTCTAACCATTTTTTAGAATTTTAATTTATTAATATGGGACATATTTAATAGAAACTCAATCAAGAACACCCAATTTACTGATTAATTTTAATTAGAACACCCAAAATTTGGATGAATTTATGTGGATGTATAGCAAAACAGAAAAGAATAAAAACTTGTTTGGTTAAGCTTATAAACTGTTCAAAGTGTTTGATATTTTTTTTCAGAAAAATCTTAAAAATTAAAAAAATAAGATGTCGTAGAGCAAATAATGAGTAAAAATAGCTTATAAGTTCATTATCCAAACACTTTAAATAATAATTCTAAAAATAAGACGTAACAATTTATGAGTTCTTAAAACAGTTTATCAGACCTACGAACTTTTCAGTTGTTTAAAATAAGTATAGCCAAACGGGCTCTTAAGTATGGTCGCATCCTCATTCAAATTTGTACTTAGATCATCAAAGGGTCTAACTCCAAGGCAATAAAATCATATTAAAGTCCATATTATACAAGATATATAATATATATGAAAGAACCATATATTATAATTTATATGTGAGAGGGTATCTTTTGTGGTAAATTTGTGGGATAATTTTGTCCCTAAATTACTCTTAATCATGCATTGTTTCTTGTGAATAGTAATGAGCCAGCATACTGCCAAAAAAGAGGTTGCTTCCAAATAAATTAATAATATTAATAAATAAGTAACATTTAAAAAATATAAAATTTGTTACAAGCATGTGGAAGAGTATAGAGAGGGGATAAGACTTAAGAGAGATTAAGAAGACAGATAATTATGTTTGTAATAATTTAATCACTCTCTTAATCATTTATTATTAACATGATTCCATTATCTGTTCTGTTTTCATCATTTATTTAAGTTCATTATATTATCTTTTCAATTTGAAATTAAAATTTTATATTGGCCCTGGGCAATGGTTTCACACTAAACAATATATGTGCCTGCCCAAATTAATTTTGCTATCATATAAAGTTCACATTAATTGTCTCTCTTTTTTTTTTTCTACTTTAGTTTATGAATTTTAATATACTACAATAGAATTTCGATAAATTAATCTCAATAAATTAATAATCTCGCTTTCTCGGTCCCAACTCGTGGACAACATGCTAAATTAATAATTCGCTAAATTTATAAGATAATACACATTTGAAAGTTTTAAGAAGTCCCATATAATATATAAATTAATAATGTATATAATTTTTAAATTACATGGTACAATACATATTTTATTGATTTATGAAGGCTTTTAATACAATATAATTTAATTATCGATTGTTTCTTGGTGAAGTTCACATCACCATCAATCTCGTTCCTCACTTTATTTAACATGATTAGAACTTTTGGTATAGTTTTCTCATAACTCAGCATAAATTGTCTATACAATTGCTGCTTTTAGAGCTTACGTTCATCAAACGGACTCTATAGTGTATTGAACTAATAGTAATATGGATAATATACACGTAAATTTCTTTTAAAAAATGTATTTATTGAAAATAATAATAAAAATAATTTCATAAAGTAATAAGTTATTAATTAATGTATAAATTAATAATTATTAATTTATCGATAAGTTAATATTTCGCTAAATTAATGAAATTTTGATGATCACAACTGTATTAATTTATAGATGTTTAACTGTACGTTATTATTATTTCATGAGAAGCAAAATCAATATTTGATTTTGCAATCACCTAAAAACAGATTATGAACAAAAAAGAAAGTTTGAATATGTTTCTAAAAACTTTTGCAAATACTATAGACTCAGAAATTACTGAGGTACGAGTTTTCGATGATAATTATATCGAGAATGCCATCTTCTCTTTTTAAAAAATAAAGGATAAATTACACCTACACCCATGAGAGTATTAAAATAACTTTAAGATCCATGTGGTATATATTGGTAATTACAGGCACACCCCTGAAACAATTATCCCAAAATTTCATGTCCTGGGGACCGATATGCACTATATTCATTTCCCGATGGGTTGTTAATGCCACCGTAGACGAAAATTTATAAATCTTATATAAAATAATAAGGATTTCAGAAATATCTGGTGAACTATGTCAGCCCTAGCTCTATATCGTCTCCACCACTGCTTGAAACTAATAGTTCGTTAGAAACCTAACATAATAACTTATCCAATGCATTATTCCGTTAGGGTATCTAACAATGTTTCAGGGGGGCGGTGATTATAACTACCGATACTACAGAGACCTCAAAATTATTTGAACATACCTAAGAGGTATATGTGTAATTTACCCTAAAAAATAATAAAATAAAATAAAATAAAAAAGGGAATATAGCAACTTTGAGTAGATATTTCTATGACAAAAAAAATTATAAAAGCTGCAATTAATATTCCACCGGTGTTGAAAAAATCAGACAACTACAAGTACAAGAAAGGGATTTGTGCTATACATATTGTGTGCAGAAAGAAACACTTAACTTTAGTTTCTATTTTTCTTTTTCATTTTATTATTAATTTCATCAACTTTTTCTTACACCATGATTCTCATGTTCCTCAAAGACCTGCCTGGAATATTTACTTCACAGGCCTCTACAATATATATATATATATATATATATATATATATAGATATACATATATATATATATATATATATATATATATATATATATATATATATATACATATATACATATATATATATATATATATATATATATATATATATATATATATATATATATATATAAAAATACACTATTACATATAATATACACATCTCTGATATATATATAAAAAACTCACGTGTCTCGTGATAAATTATACTCAAAATATAGATAGATGTGTGTGTTACTCTCTCCCACAAATAAAAAAAAATAAATGTTTTATATATATGTATATATATATATAAGACTGTGTAAATAAGCGCGCGCGAGAGATATATATATGTCTCACAAGAGATATTTCTCTCTCTCACTCACACAAAAAAAATATATAGATATATGTTTCTCTCGCGTATAA